GATATTGAAAATTAGTTTTTTTCTACTTTAACTTTATTTAAAATATATTTAATATATTGTTGTTTAATTATTTATAACAAGAATTTTTCAAATTATTTTGAAAAAGATTTTTAAATATAATTTAAAACTGTAATAGGAAAAAAAAATTTCACGCTTAATCTATATGTATTGATTTATTTTAAATTTAAAAGTATTATTTTATATAATTAAAAATGTCAATGAGAAAATGTGAAAAAGAAGGCTTGAGAATGGGAGGTAGTAACTGAAGTTTCAATTAAACTTTGAACTTGAAATTCAAATGAACAAACTTGTTCCTCTGCGCAGCGGCCTTGTTTATAAAGATTCGTGTTTAGGCGTTAAAGAGTTTTTTTTCTTCTTTAAATCAATTCACCTCCTCAAAGCTTATGGTCACTACAGGCGAGGAGGCTACTTATTTGTGGTTATAACCCTCTCTCAACTCTATAACTCCGAAACATGAACCTTGACGAACAAGGCCGCTGCGCGGAGAAAGGAGTTGAGCGCGGTACTGCCAGGGACGTGGTGGGGATCAAACTCGGAACCTCTCACTTATGAATTGAGCGCTCTACCACAACACCACTACCGCAAAAGAGTTGAGAGAGGGTTGTAACCACAACAAGGTAGCCTCCTCGACTGTTGTGTTGGCTTCTCTGGTCACTACTACTCATTTAAATTCAACTTGGGAGGTGAACAACATTATGTAATAAAAATCTCAATCGATAAAAATATTTGAATAAAAATTGTAATAATGTATTTCCAAATAATGATTCAAATAATAGTAAACCTGCTCTGATAGCTGTTATTGTTGGTTATAATAGTTAATAATAATAGTTAATAATAGTTAAGTTAATAAAAATAGTTAATAATTATTTTAGTAAATAATATTATAGTTATAATGTTAAAGTTGGTTATAATAGTTCATAAACTTATTAAATATCTTTAAAAAAACCCAATAAAACCCAGATTTTCCAGGGTTTTATTGGGTTTTTTTAGGCGGGTTTTTTTGGGTTTTATTGGGCGGGTTTTTTTGGGCGGGTTTTTTAATGCCAACCCTGCCAGAAACCATTGTAAAAAGGTTTTGTCTGACGCCAAAGCTCGCTATTCCCAGGTCATTAAATCTCGTATCTCATCACAAAAATTAGGCTCTCGAGACTTCTGGAGAATCTTTAACAGTATCAATAATAAGGGCAAATCTGTCATTCCTTCTCTCTTGTATGGTTCAGACTTTGTCACCTCACCTAAAGACAAAGCTGAATTGTTTGCTAAGAACTTTTCATCAATATCATCTCTTGATTCCACTAGTTGCGTTTTACCTGACATAGCCGTCAAACAGGTTGATCCCTTGCTTGACATTCGCATCACTTCAGCTTCTGTATCTAAAGTAATTTCCTGCTTAGACTCTTCAACAGCTTGTGGTCCTGACAACATTCCTGTTGTAGTCTTGCAGAGGTGTTCTCCGGAGCTTTCATCCATACTTTCTAAACTATTTAACAAGTGCTTATCAGAGTCTTGTTTTCCATCATGCTGGAAAGCAGCATCTGTTATTCCTATTTTCAAAAATTCTGGAGAGCGATCTGATTCATCTAACTACCGCCCCATTAGTCTTCTTCCTGTCATAAGCAAGGTTTTTGAATCTTTAATCAACAAACACTTAATCTCTCATCTTGAATCAAATAACTTACTTTCTGATCATCAATATGGATTTCGGTCTTCTCGTTCTACAGCTGATGTGCTAACAGTAATAACCGATAGGTTTTACCGTGCATTAGATAGAGGTGGAGAGGTTAAGGCTATCGCACTTGACATTTCTAAAGCTTTTGATAAAGTTTGGCATGCTGGTCTTCTCCATAAGCTTTCTTCTTATGGTGTAGCTGGTAAGGTCTTTAAGATTATTGAGTCCTTTCTTTCCAATCGTAGTATAAAAGTTGTCCTCGATGGACAACACTCTTCTTCACATCCTGTAACTTCAGGGGTTCCTCAAGGTTCAATCCTTGGCCCTATACTCTTTTTAATTTACATTAACGATCTTCCAGATATTCTCACATCTAAGGTGGCATTATTCCCTGACGACACTACCATTTACTCTTGTCATGATAAGAAGCCTACACTCTCTGGTTGCTTGGAGGGGGTATCTGAGCTTGAAAAGGATCTCACTTCTGCTACAGCATGGGGCTCACAGTGGCTGGTGAACTTTAATTCAGATAAAACTCAATTTTATTCGGCCAATCGTTATCGTAATAATTTAGATCTTCCTATATTTATGAATGGTAATGTACTAGATGAGTCATCTACCATTCATCTTCTAGGATTAACTCTTACTTCTGATCTTTCTTTTAAACCGTATATCAAATCCATTGCAAAATTAGCATCAGCTAAGGTTGCATCTCTTTATCGAGCTCGACACTTTCTTACTCCAGATTCTATTCTCTATCTCTATAAATCTCAAATCCGTCCCTGTATGGAATACTGTTGCCACATCTGGGGCGGATCTTCTAATGATGCTCTTTCTCTTTTAGACAAGGTGCAAAAACGAATTGTAAACATAGTTGGACCTGCTCTGGCAGCCAATCTCCAACCTTTGTCACATCGTCGTAATGTTGCTTCTCTTTCTCTTTTCTACAAATACTATAATGGGCACTGCTCTAAAGAGCTAGCGTCCCTTGTGCCATCTACTAAAATTCATTCTCGTGTTACTCGCCATTCAATTAAGTCTCATCCTTTTTCTGTGACTGTTCCTAAGTGCTTCAAAAACTCTTATTCTTCTAGTTTTTTTCCTCGAACATCAGTTCTTTGGAATTCGCTTCCTTCATCTTGCTTTCCTGATTCATATAATTTGCAATCTTTTAAGTCATCAGTCAATCGTTATCTTGCTCTACAGATTTAGTCTTTTCTCTTCCAGTAACTTCCAACTCTTGTAGTGGTTGCTTGCAGCCTTGTTGGAAGTGAAGATGTTAAAAAAAAAAAAAAAAAAAAAAAAAAAAAAAATCTATGCAGCACAATAGTCAAATCATGGTATCTGCCAGATGCATCATGTATGGTAGTAGACAGAGTTATTCAAACAAATGCATTCTTTGGTCATCAGGAAAATATTCTTCTGGCAATGTGGCTGCTCATCTATCAGATGAGCAGCCACAAAATAGAGAATTAGGTGTTAGGCATATCAGAGAGCTAGAGAAAAAAGAAGTATGAATGGTAATCAAACTAGTGTGCGGCAATTTCAAGTTCAGAATGCCAATTTTATGGCAAAGAATACATGAGAGTTGATTGATAGGAGTAAAACATAGCAGACAGAGCCACCACTAACAATACAGCTCAATGATGAGGAAATGAAAGAAGCAAAAGAGAATTGCATTCAACTAAGTAATCTTTTAGGAAAGTTACCATACCACACGCATGCTGTAGATCGCTGTGTAAACATAGAGACAGCTGTTTCTGCCTCGGTTTGCAGCAAAATAAAAAGAGATGGTATGGTACATGCTTGCCTGCAATCAAGAAAAAGTATGCCAGTATAAAAAAATATTAAAAATTGTGAAAATTTGCCTACTTTGGCCAAATTTGCTGCAATTTTTGTGAGAAAAATGGAATTTATAAAAAAGTTTTTTTCACTCCACACTAATACCTTAAATGCTTTTACTTTGTAACTACTAATTAAAAAAATTTTCATAAAAATTTTTACCAATAATAAGTAGTACTCGTCAAAAATTGCTGCAGGGGGGTAATTCTTGTTCAATTTTGCCCATTTCAATCTCTTTTTTGTTAGTTTTCTTTATATAAAAATATATAAAAATATAAAAAATAAATATAAAAAATAATATAAAACTAATATAAAAATATAAAAATCAGGGAGAAAAGTTGTATTTCTGAAAAATGTTATTTTCACTCCACCCTACTGCATATGCCAACTTTTTTATGCCTTTGTTAGTTTTCACATGTAATACATTGTATTACACTGATTAAAATGTTGTAAAAGAAAATTTGGAATGGATTTTTTTTGGAGATTTAATATTGAATCCATTTAATTAAATATATTCTCCAAAAAAATCTATTTTTGAAATTTAGTGTATAGTCTTTCAAATTACAAAAATGTTGTAATTTGTTAAAGTATTTATACAAGATATTGGATACATTATATTATTTTACATTATATTATATTATATATATTTTGCTTTTTTTTTTTAATGATTTTAGGTTAAATTGACAAAAATAAATCAAAATAATGTGAAAATTTACGATACCAAACATTAAAAGTGACATGTCATGCTAATTTGGCATGGAATGACCAAACTACAAGTGGTGTTACTTGTAATTTTATGATAGAAGGCTATGGCTTACTTTCTTGTCGTGTTTATCAAGTTGCTCAAAACTATTATAAATTTGTAGCCCACTCTTACAACTTTCTTTTGATACCAAGTTGTAAGCGTTTTGATAAGAATTCACAAAGTTATAACAATTTACACAAAGAAAAACTTAATTTTGACTAGTTTTTTCAACAAATCCATATATCAAAATTTTGCTTCTTAAAACCTTCTAACTTTTTGTAGAATTGTTTGATTTTTATCATTTTTTAACAATCTAGTAACTAAGGAATTTAAAATTTTCATGTAGCATACCTAATACCTAATATATATATATATATATATATATATATATATATATATATATATATATATATATATATATATATATATATATATATATATATATATATATATATATATATATATATTAAATCTAATAAATGTGTATATATATACATATATATATATATATATATATATATATATATATATATATATATGTATATATTAAATCTAATAAATATATATATATATATATATATATATATATATATATATATATATATATATATATATATATATATATATATATATATATATATATTAAATCTAATAAATGTAGCTCTAACATATATTGACTTATGTTAAAAATATCCAAGTAAAATTTATTAAAATAAATCTTACTAATATCAATAACAATAAATACAAGATTAAGATTTTTGCATCCAGGTTTTAGATCCTTTATTAAACATATTTTTCCATCTTCAGACATTTCTCAGAAGATACAATTGTCTCTTGTCAGTTCGAAACGAGGTTTTAAGATGAGGGGGAGGACATTTTTTAGCGTTTTTTTTTGTTTCGCAACTCAAAAATTTAATACCTGGGTATAACATTTTTTAAGTTCGTTCGCTTTTGTCAGTAGTTAAAAAAGAAAGATTTACTTTCTAGAAGTAAATTGTTGCATAATGTGAGTAATTAGGGTTAAACCTTAGATAAATAATTATAAAAAAGTGCGTTGAAACAATTACTTTTATTTGTGTTTTTATATTTAATTTGGTTGAAGATTTGAAAAGTTTTATAATGTTTTAGTCAGAAAAAAGTGAAGAAGAGAGAGAACTCCAAACCATCGAGGATGACTGTAATACTGCGGTTAGAAAGAAATGATTCAAAAATTTCAAAAACTTCTCCTGATACACCATCAGGCGCGAACTGGCCCACCGGGAAACCGGGAAATTTCCCGGTGCGCCCCACCATCCTAGGCGCCCCCCCTAACCATAAGTTGTATATCTCCATACCAAATGTTACATATAATTAATAACTACAAAACCATTTAGTGTTATCGATTCAAGTGCAAATTTATTTTCCTTCAATTTCTCACAATACAATAGAAGCATCATTTATATCAGGGGCGAATTTAGAAATATTTTAGAGGAGGACAGAAAAATATTTTTTGACTTTTTAACAAATACTTACGTGAATTAGTTTTTCTCATGCTGTTTACTTTACTAAATGATAGTTTAAGCTAGACCCGAAAGGAACTTTATTTTTTCCGAAACTAAAATTTAAAAAAAGTGATTTGAAAAAGTCTGAGTTAGGATCCCCCCCCCCTCCTTTAACCCGCCCCTAATTTAATCACAAACTGATTTGATACTTCTTATTTTTAAAATTGCCCGTAAAAACCATGACAGACTGTACGTCAGAACTCGGTGCAGTTACATCAGCATAAACATCAGTGTACCGAAACAACAAAATTGATTTATAAACGGCTTCCTGACAGTACACAGCGTAACCAAAAATAGCATTAGTAAATAATAACATGATTCAGCCGAACCATTAAGATATAAAGCATTTACCGTATGATCCAAAAAGAGTGTACGAAAGATTGATATCAGATAATAAGTATGTACAAAGACGTTGGATAGCCGCAAGAGTTAAAGACGATCAAATCGTGGCACTTTACTGCAATGCATAAAAAGCATTTTCGAAAGAAGATTCTAGTTTTACTCTTGGATTTAAAAAGTATTCCAAATATATACCGAAGAATCAAGACCATGAAGAATCAAAATCACATTACGCTGCTGTAATTGCACTATTAAGTTGTACAACAGAGAAAGATATAAGCTTTTTAATCAACAAAGGTATAGTGGAAACAAAGGATAGTGGAAAAGCAGAAAGCGCAAGTATTGAAAAACATCGAAGTATTTAAACGAACTTTTGCACTAATTTTTATTGGAAAGCAATCTGTTCCATACGATCTCTCTACAGTTTACACGATAAATCTATTGATCACGGAAACTTTTTGGAACTGATATATTGGTGGTAGCAGAGTTTGACATTCCTCTTAATAATCATATAGAAAAAGCTATTCAGGCAAGTCAAAAAAAAGGAAAGATTGTTTGATACGTAAAGGAAAGGAAGCTCACGTGGACGTTGAACGAATTTTTGGAACTTATAATGCTCCACTAGTTGTTCTATGCTCTTTTACAAGTTTTTAATTGCATTAGAATGTCTTCAAGATTCGATGCAAAATCAACATTCGAAGCCACAGCACTACATGACAAATGGTGTCAATTCGATGTGTTTCTTTCAGTTTTTCTTCTTCAACGTGTGTACACCATTTTGTGACAACCATCCGAATATTTGCAAACAATGGGTCTGGATCATTTAAGTGCTTGGAATATGGTAGAGTCAGCAAAACAAGAACTGCAGACAATATTGTCCAAAGATCTGCATTCCAAGACAATTGCATTTGTTAAAAAAATCAACACCCACCTAGATGCTAGTGGACTTGATTCAGAAGTTGAAACAGAATTGCGTGTAGAACGAGTTCACCGAAAGAAACGTATGGCAGGGAAACTCGCCTTTAATGACATACCAGAGAATCCTCTTGATCGTTTCAGAATAGATGTTTTCCGTAGAGTAATTGATCAGATTACCCCTAGCATAGATAAACGTTTCTCAGTTAACAGGGACATCATTAGAGACACTGCGTGTTTAGATCCCAGACGTTTTAAAGAAATTGTTGAAAATGGTATTCCAGAAAACAGTCATGCAAAAATTTCTCAATTAACTAATCTTTGTTCTGAAAGATTGAGATCATAATTGCATAGCATTACTATAAACTTTGATAGGCTCTCAAAAACACTCTGAGATGAATTTACCGTGAGTCCTAGTGATAAAGATTTGAAGAATCGAATTGGATACTTCAACAAAAGCAACTGAAAATGAGAATGATAGAGATTTTCAGAACTTTGAGCTTTGTGTAGGGGTCTTGTAAAAAATGTTTAAAATGTTGCTATAGTATTTTATACAAATATTCGTTGAATGCAATTGCTTATTCAAATCTGTATCTGGCTTACGAATATCTATTAACACTTTCATTCTCACAAGTGTTCTGTGAGCGGGGCATTTAATAAATTAAAAATTGTCAAAACTAGGCTGCGTTCCTCATTATGTAGCGACAAACTTGAAACATTTATGCTGATATCGATTGCAGATTATCAATTGCAGTTGATGACGTAATTGGCTATTTGTGTAAGGATTTTGTAGAGTTATCAAAGATGTTGCTTCTATAAATTACATTAGGAGATTGTAGTCAGTTACAGTATAAATACCAGATAAACCGCAGGGTCAATTTTTATTTTTTATTTTTTATCTTAAATGATTTAAAAAGAGGTTTATTATTCATTTATCATTATAAACTCATCGTGTTATTATTATTATTGTTGTTATTATGGCTATTATTATTCTTATTATTATTGCTATTATTATAATCATTATTATTATTATTATTATCTACATAATTACCATGTATATTTCATACATAAGTAAAATAACATACTGAATTATATTGTAAGCCTGAATGAACTTTGAACTTTGAAAGTGTAACATTATTTTACCTATTCATATTCAAATTAAAAAGACCTTTATATAAACACTAGCCTATTTTCTACCCCAATCCCGACCTTGTAGCGCCCCTCCCTCTTCCCTTCCCGGTAGGATTTGAAGCCCCAGTCCGCGCCTGTACACCATAAAATGACCGAAGACAACTTATTTAACTTGGGGGGCAAGAAAGAGTAGGGGCGCAAATAACATGTCTCTTAACAATAAAACTCTTCGGAAATCTGTAGTAATGTCTATACGATAAGAGTTTTATAAAAAATTACAGCAATTTCATTTTTATTTTTTTCAAAATTGTCCAAATACAGTTTTTCTACCTTCACTTCGAATACAAAAATCATTGGCAATATCTACATGGGCCTTAGAACCGGGGGGCCTAGGTGGGCCACAGCCCCCCGAGAAAAAAATGATGGCAATGATGGCGTCTTTTTAGTTGTGCCTTTAAAAAATTATTGCCCCTGAAAAAAATTTATATTTTTAAAATTGTTAAAAAAAATTGTTTAAAATATATCTATTTAAAAAATATATATATATTTTTGTATTAACTTTTTTTTTTTGTCTTCTTGTCTTGGCTAAATTTTCGAATACGGAAATAATCCATTTAAAAATTGCGCTGTTTCAAATTTGAACAAAAACGAGAAGTTTTTAAACGTAAGTTTTTGATGTTTTGTTGAAGTTTTGTTGAATTGAATAATCAAATTTTAATTAATTGTTCTTAGGTAATGTATAATTCCTATATATATATATATATATATATATATATATAAATATTAAAGCGAAAAATTTCTAATTCTTTATATATATTATAATAATATAATAGAAGTATTTATTATATTATATATTTACTAAGTTTTATTTTTTAAATGTCACTATTAAAAAAAAGTAACTACTATATGCTATCATGCCTAGCATTTAGACTATATAATGGTAGCCAAAATTATTAACTGGAAGAAAGGTATTGAAGCTTTTAAAAATCATCAGTTGTCTGCATGCCATAGAACCGCTGTTGAGTCTGATGCATCAAAATCTAAGCAAGATGTGGGGGAAATGTTATCCAGTCAACATTCAGAACATAAAGTCCACAATCGGAAAATGCAACGAAAAATTGTTGAAAACTATACTTTTTTATTTTCTCATGCACTAGCAATCCATGGGAAAGTTGAAGATACTAGCAATTTTTATGGACTCTGTCTATTGCGGGCAAAAGATGATCCACTGTTTGCAGACTGGCTGGAAAAAAAACGAAATGCGTATTACTCACACAATACAAAATGAAATCTTGAAAAAAATGTCCACTATGATTCTCGGAGACATAATTATATCAAAAGTGAAGGATGGCATCTGATATGCCATTATGGCAGACGAATAGCCGCAATAAGGAACAATTGGTAATTTGCTTGAGGTCGGTTAGTGACAAACTTGAGGTATCAGAAAATTTCATTGGATTCTATGAAATTGATAATATCAAAGCAGAGACTATTTTTAATACTATAATGGACAGCCTTTTAAGATGCAATATTGGCATTCAGAATTGTTGAGGTGTTTCGTTTGATGGTGCAGCTTATATGAGTGGACTGAAAACGGGTGTAGCTAAGCGTTTAAATGATAAAGCAGAAGGGCTTGCTCCATTCTCTCATTGTTATGGTCACTCTCTAAGCCTTGCTGTGAAAGATGTTTTCAAAACGGAAAATCCCACTTTATCTTATTGCCTTGATTTTGTACATGAAGTATCAAAACTTATAAAAAAATCACCAAAACGAGATGTTTTATTAAACAAACTGAAAGCTGAATTGTCTGATGTAGCAGGTATTCCGGGTATTAGAACTCTTTGTCCAGCTAGATGGACTGTGCGAGGAACAAGTTGCAAATCGAAAATCGACAATTATGCATTGCTTCTTCTGTTGTGGGATATCTGCTTCGAAGACAATTTAGAATC